CTCAAACTCACAAACTGTGAGATCGTGACCTGAGCTGAAGTTGGATGCTAACCAGTTGAGCCATCCAGATGCCCCAATACCATATTGTCTTGATGATGACAGCTTTGTAGTAGAAGGTAAAGACTGGGATTGTGTTGCCTCCCGTTTTGGTTTTCTTCATCAATATTACTTTGCTATTCGGGATCTTTTGTGGTTCCATAGAAATTTTAGGATTGTTTGTTCTAGGTTTGAGAAGAATGCTGGTGCAGTTTTGATTGAGATGGCATTGAATGTGTAGATTGCTTTGGGTAGTTTTGACACTTGAACAATATTCATTCTTCCTATCCATGAGCATGGAATGTTTTTCCATTTTTTTGTGTCGTCTTCAGTTTTCTTCATAAGATTTCTATAGATCTTTTATATCTTTGGTTAGGCTTATCCCTAGGTATTTTATGGTTCTTGATGCATTTGTGAATGGGATCAGTTTCTTGATCTCTCTTTCTGTTGCTTTATTATTGTTGTATAAAAGTGCAACCGATTTCTGTACATTGATTTTGTACCCTGCGACTTTGCTGAATTCATGGTTCAGTTCTAGCAGGTTTTTGTTGGAGTCTGTCAGAATTTCCATGTAGATTATCATGTCGTCTGGATAAAGTGAAAGTTTGACTTCATCTTTGCCAATTCTGATGCTTTTATTTCATTTTGTTGTCTTATTGATGATTTAGGGCTTCCAGCTCTATGTTAGGCAACAGTGATGAGAGTGGACATCCCTGTCATGTTTCTGATCTCAAGGGGACCGCTTTCAATTTTTCCCCATTGAGAATGACATTAGCTGTGGGCTTTTCATAAATGGCTTTTATGATGTTTAAGTAAGTTTCTTCTATCCCAACATTCTCGAGGGTTTTATTAAGAAAGGATGCTGTATTTTGTCACATTCATTTTCTGCATCTATTGACAGGATCATATGTTTCTTATCTCCTCTTTTATTAATGTGATGTATCACATTGATGTGCGAATATTGAACCAGCCCTGCAACCCAGTGATGAACCCCACTTGATCATGGTGAATAATTCTTTTTATGTGCTGTTGAATCCGACTTGCTAGTATCTTGTTGAGGATTTTTGCATCCATATCCATCAGGGATATTGGCCTGTAGTTCTCTCTTTCTCTCTCTGTCTTTTTCTGGGACTGTCTGGCTTGAGAATCAAGGTAATACTGGCTTCATAGAATGAGTCCTGAAGTTTTCCTTCTATTTCTATTTTTTAGAACAGCTTGAGAAGGAAAAGTATTAACACTGTTTTAAATGTCTGATACAATTCCCCAGGGAAGCCATCTGGTCCAGGACTCTTATTTGTTGGGAGATTTTTGGTAACTGATTCCATTTCTTCACTAGTTATGGGTCTGGTCACAATTTGTATTTCTTCCCGTTTGAGTTTTGGTAGTGTGTGGGTGTTTAGGAATTTGTTTCATTTCCTCCAGGTTGTCCAGTTTGTTGGCACATAATTTTTCACAGTATTCCCTGATAATTGCTTGTATTTTTCGGGGATTGGTTGTAATAAGTCCATTTTGATTCAAAATTTTATCTATTTAGGTCCTCTTTTCTTTTTGAGAAGTCAGTCTAGAGGATATCAATTCTATTTATTTTTTTCAAAAAACCAACTCTTGGTTTCATTGATCATTCTAGTATTGTTTTTTGGATTCCATATGGTTTATTTCTGCCCTGATATTTATTATTTCTCCTCTTCTGCTGGGTTGGAGTGTCTCTGCTATACTGCTTCTAGTACTATTAGGTGTGTTGTTAGATTTTGCATTTGGAATTTTCTTGTTTCTTGAGATAGGCCTGGATTGCAATGTATTTTCCTCCTAGGACTGCCTTTGCTGCATCCCAAAGGGTTTGGTTGTTGTATTTTCATGTTCATTTATTTCTATATACTTTTAAATTTCTCTTCTAATTGTCTGGTTGACCCATTTGTTCTTTAGCAGGATGGTCTTTAACCTCCCTGATTTTGGAGATTTTCCAGACTTTTTTCTGTGGTTGATTTCAAGTTTCATAGCATTGTGATCTGAAAGTGTGCATGGTATCATCTCACTTTTTTTATATTTGTTGAGGGCTGCCTTATGACCCAGTATGTGGTCTATCTTGGAGAATGTACCATGTACACTTGAGAAGAAAGTGTATTCCACTGCTTTGGGATGTAGTGTTCCAAATATATCCCTCAGGTACATCTGGTCCAGTGTATCATTCAGGGCCATTGTTTCTTTACTGATCCTCAGTCTAGATGATCTGTCCATTGCTGTAAGTGAAATATTAAAGTCTCTTGCAATTACCACATTCTTATCAATAAGAGTGCTTATGTTTGCGATTGTTTTATATAGTTGGGTGTTCCTGAATTCAGTGCAT